AGGAATGGCAATTTCCAGACGCCATATACACGGGCAATAAGTTTCTCGACACACACCGTGAGTTGTTGAAGGATGTACGTCAGTCGGCGGCTCAGGTGGTATGGACCGCGGCTGCCAAGCACTACTGCGGAGGTGGAGTCGAGCAGGGAGTTGACAATCGGTCATTTCGGCTGTTGATCAAACAAGTTGGGCAACTCCCACACGGTGTGCGTCTCACTGAGTTGCTGATCAATATTGCCACAGGTGGGTACTGGACGCGACAGAGGCGATATGATGAATTGAAGGGCTATAAGGGCAGCAACGTGTGTGACCGCTGCCGAGAGGCACCAGAGACGGCCAAGCACAGATTCTGGCAGTGCAGCAAGAACGTACAGGCCGCGCCATATAATCGCTCAGAGTCTTTGGTTTCAGCCGCGATGGCCCAGACGGACGCCACCGAGTGTTTCTGGCTACGTGGGTTGCTACCGACCCAGTGGACCCAGACCCCGCCCCCACCGAAGGACACGGTCCTTGAGTTCACGGGCATCAGCGAGCTGTCCGAAGGGATCTTTGGGGCGGGGAGTGCTGAGTCACCAGTCGAGATCTTCGGGGACGCCAGCGGAGGACCAGATGCGAGCATCAGCGATTTCATGAGGATTGGAGTCGCCATAGTATGCGTTGCCAGCCTATTGCCCGAGATCAACCTACACGGTGCAGTCTTCGGCCAGCTGGGTGGCCCACGCCAAGTGGTGGCGAGGGGAGAGCTCTACTCCCTGTACCTCGCCCTCTGGTGCACCACCAGGTTCCTCACCTACGTGACGGACTGTGAATATGTGGCGGCGGGCTGGTACTCCCAAGCCTACACGAACCCAGCAGGTGAGGACGCCGACCTATGGAAGCTCATCGGGGACCTGATGAGCTCACGCCGCCACGCTGAGGTGACGGTGCTCTGGACGCCGTCCCACAGCACGGCCCAGGACGTTGCCGCCCAGAAGGTGAACAGGTACCTCGTCATAGGCAACCTGCTCGCCGACGAGTTCGCGGGCTGTGCAGCGGCCAGAGCCAGGCTGCCCGCCGAGGTCCGCCAACCCATCCTGCTGGCCGAGCGGAGGGCGTACCTCGTCCGCATGAGGCTCCTCCGAGCCACGCTTGACAGCATTGCGGCCAGCCAGGAGACCGAGAGAATGGAAAGGGACGCCGCCCGAGGCCATGGGAGCCCCTCTGAGGTCCCGCCTCCTCCCGCCCCTCCTCCTCCTCCGCCTCCCGCTGCTGCCACTGTTGCTGCCCTCATGTCCAGGCACCGTCTGGCCGACTGCGGCCGACGTTGCCTCTCTTGTTTTGGTTCTGCGACCCTCGCCACCACCCAGGAATTCGTCGAATCTGAATGTCCTAGGCTGTACAATGTCGATGGGGTCCTGTTTTCGCCGTTAAAGGGGCCGCGAGTCCATATCGCGGGGGGTTGGGCCCACACTACGCATACCCTGAATGTTCACCCGACCCTTCAGGTTTGGTTTTGCACTGAGTGTGGGGGCATCGCGGATAAGGCTCTGCGATCTCTTAAAGGCCCATGTAGTAAGAGGAAGTCCGCCACGGGGCAAGAGTACCTTGACAGAATTGCTCGGGGGTTACATCCCAAAGTTCTGAGCCGAGCTGAGCAAGCTCGGCGTTCGAATGCTCGTTTGTCCAGGCCTTCCTAAGACCCGAACCTGCTGCGCAGCGGAGTCCACTCCACTCCACTCCCTCCCTCCCTCCCTCCCTCCCTCCCTCCCTCCCTCTCCTCCTCCTCCGCCTCCGCCTCCTCCTGTTCCTCCTGCTCCTGCTCCTCCTCCGCCTCCTCCTCGTTCTCCTCCTCCCGCTGCTCCTCTTCCTGCTGCTCCTCCTGCTCCTCCGGCGTGCGTCTGTGGCAGCGGACTGGGACATGGAGAAGTTCTTGCGCTCAAGCTGGAGTGCCCTCCCGCCCTCCCCAGTTGCTCTACCTTGGCCTCCTCATCCATACTTCCCGCGTCTGCTTGAAGTGGAGGGAGCCCTGTCTCAGGTCACACCCACTGGCAACTCTGAACTGGATGGATGCACCCAGTCCATGCCGTGGGTCAAGGATTTGCTGCACGACGTGCTGCACCGAGCGCATCATCGTGTCCCTCACATGCCTGTCAAATCGTATACTGGTGATGCTAGACAGTGCACGGATGGTGCCTGCAGGTAGCTCATTCAGGTTGCTCCTCAGGTCGTCCTCGCTTTTTGTTCGGGACTTCGAGTGCATTGGTTGCAAGGTCTCCATCAAGAGTGCGATGGCCACGTGCAGTGCTGGACTGGCCAGCTGTTTGGAGGAGGCTGTTAGGAACCTGGGGATCCCGATGGAGGCCTCTGAAGCGGTCAGGGATCTGGAGTTCGTGACGGCGACAGGGAGGAAGAGGCGTGCCACAACAATCGGTTTTAGGGGACGAGTTTCGCTTTCGGGGAGCTCGGAAGCTGCAGTGCCTGGCTAGGCTTTATGGGCGTCCTCAGAAGTTGATCAAGCGGGCCTCTGCTGCAAGATGTTCTGGATACTGGCCGTCTGGGTGTTGCACGTCCACTGTGGCTGCCATCCAGAACCAGCATAGTGATGACCCTGTGTATCCATTGCGCCGTGAACAGTTGTACGCGCTGGCGAGTGTTTGGGTATGTATCCTGGTATGCGCCAGGGTGTTGCCAAAGCTTGGGGGAATTTTCGCGTCCGTCTTCTTGCTTTGCCTGCTAATCGCCGCTGGCGGGCCGCGAAAGGTCCCATCGCCGCTGTCATCATTGCTTTGCTTGACCTGCGATGAGAGCCCGGGTCGCCTACCAGGTGGGTTATCCAAAAGTAGGTTTCGGCAGGTGGATGATCCAGATTTTCTGTTTCAGTTGGAGGAGAGTGTTCGGGAGACCGTTTCCTGGGATATTTCGACAGCTGCCTCTAAGCATCATCATATGTGAGCGCGGCGGAGCAACGCTGGAGACGATGATGCATCGAGTTTGGTCTTGCAGTTGCAACGCTACCAGTTACACTACTCAGACCCCCGACGTCGCGATTTCTTCGCAACGTCGACCCCCAGAGGTCTGGACCCCTTCCCCAGGATCGTTTTTTCATGCTCAGCGGTTTTTTGACGGCCCCGAGGCCCGGTAAGGGCCCCCGGAGGCTGAAAATAGCGAAAAGCTTCCGTCGTGTTTTCTTCACGACGAAAGGGGGTCTGGGTAACCCGATGCACGATTCCGAACCGTCGTGCGCCGACGCCCGCCCTTGCGAAGCGAGCCGCCCCGAGAGCGTGTTCTGGGCCCGTGACTTACTCACCTTGGCGGCTGCCGCCGTGCGTCGCAGCCCACCGCCGCCCTCCTCGCTCACGCTTGGCTGGGGAGTCTTTCAGCGGCAACGATAGGGGGGGACAGGCATAGGGGGGGATGCATCGACCCCCAATCGCCCATGGATCGCCGATAGGGGCCAGATAGCCCTAACCTGCCCAGGAAGGTCTGGATTCATGATCGCAGGCCTACCGCCGATCTATCGGCGATGCATCGCCGATTCCAGGTCGATGCATCCTCCGCTATGCCAGTCCCCCCCTATCGTTGCCCCCGAAGTCTTGGGTCGCAGGCAGGTGGTTGAAGGAGGAACTCGGGGCCTAGACTAGGGGAACGAACAATGACATGAACATAATAACTCGGAGGTCCGCGCGGATTTCTCGGATCGGCGCTGGTCCCCCCTCCCTGGCATCTTTGCCAGGGAGGGTCGAACCGACCTGGACGAAATCCCACTCCATGGCTTCAGTGCGCGCTGCCTGGGGCCTTCTAGAGGCCCGGCATCTTCGGAGCTCGTGTGCTGCATGCTTCGCTGCTGTGGCCGCCCACAAGAGGAAGGCACGTCCCGAGTGTGCCCAGTTCGTCTCGGGTGTCGATGCGATGACCTCCCGCGAGTGTTGCTGCTCCGACTCCTGGAAGTCAACCCTAAACCCTAAACCCTAAGCCCTAAACAATCCTGAGTGTGTGGGGTTGCTCTGCCGCATGTTCTCAGAGCAGGGCGGACCGCGTCGGCCGGCAGCCTCTCCGTCCTCGGGCTCGTCCCGCCGGCGCTGGCCGTGGACGGGGGGCTGCTCACCAGCCCCGAACGTATCCCTATCCCTAAGATTGACGCGCCAAAAGGCGATGACAATCTTAGGGATGCGCCCTCCAAAAAACAAGGGAATCCCTAAGGTTGGCATCGCGATGAGGAGATGTCCGGCATAGGGATAGGGATACGTTCCAGGCTGGTAACAGGTGCCAGGCGCGCAAGCGAAAGTACAGTTGGGGCGTTGAAGAAGGAGCCCTTTCCGTTGGGGAGGGGCTCGGTGTTCCATGGCTGTTCTGCAGCTTGCTTTTTCTGGGGGTTCCTGCTGTTTGCCATGCGAGATCGAAGTGTAACTTCTGGGACAGAGGGGCCTCGTTCCTTAGTTAGGGCTCCCTAGGTCAACGCCCCGACTGTATCAGGCGCTCCGCGGCAGGCTGGTTGAGTTCAGCCTAGGGAGATGCTGCGGGACACCTGCAGTGGAGGCGGGCCCGTCATCGCCGTGCTCTCCCTCGGGCCTGCCCCCCTCGCGCCTTCGACTGCGCCCGAGGGATGCTGCACTGCAGGGCGTGCGGGCGGTGCTGTGCAGCCACCGCCCAGCTGCTGGCGGAGGCCTGTCCCTCCACGCTGCTTCCGCCTCGGCCCCAGACCAAGGCGGGGCCGAGCGTGCTGTTGCGCATCTCTCGCGGGCTGCCGCCGAATAGCGGGATGGTTTTCCCCGAGAGGGCCAGATCTTGCCATCGGGTCCCTGTGCATCGGGGAGTGCCCGCCAGAGCAAGGTCGAAAAGGTCCTGCTCCTTCTGCTCCTCCTGCACCTGCTCCTCCTCTTCCTCCTCCTGCTCCTCCTCCTCCTTCTCCTCCTCCTCCTTCTCCTGCTCCTCCTCCTCCTCCTCCTCCTCCTCCTCCCCCTCCTCCTGCTCCTTCTCTCCCTCGTCCCACTCGCCCCCCTTCTCTGCGAGCTGCTGCGAAGGTGATCCTCTTCATACAGTGGGAGGACCTCAAGCGGAAGGCGGGCGACGCAGAACAACGGTCTCGGTTGCACGGACATCCGCGCGAGAGTTGCCCGCCCAAGGTTGCGCGCAAGCGCCCTGGCGCCCGCGTTAGCAACCGCGAAAGGTCGCCATGCCATCGCGCGCGCGCCCCCCGCTGAAAAACCGGACCCCCCTCCAAATGCGACCTACTATTCCGGACCCCCCTCTCTTCGACGGGGCGCCTCCATAAACCGGACCCCACTAAGCTCCGATCCCAAAAAAGCGCCTTGACAAACCGGACCCCAGGCGCCTTACAAAGCCGGACCTGGGGGACGATTAATAAGGGATTGATTTGGAGTAAGACCCGTGTCTGTTCGTCGGTCAGGTGGCTGGCGCGCTCGGGGAGACCAGCTTGGCCTTCGAGGAGCTGCGGGGCGGCGTCTTCGCCCGCAGGCGCACCATCGAGCGCTTCCAGCACGAGGAGGGTGGCTGCCGCGTCCTGCTCCTGTCCTTGGAGGACTCTGCCTCCGGGACGAACCTTACCCGCGCCAACCACGTGGTATTGTTCCACCCGGTCGTCTCCAGAACCCGGGAGGCGGCGAATTCGTATCCTCTTCCTTCCTCTCGTTCTCTATATATATATATATATCTCTCTCTTTCTTCCCCCAGACCCCCATCGAGTCATGAAGAAATGGCGACGAACCGTGTTGGGCGACTTCAGGCCCCTGGGTGCCCTTGCTGGGCCCTGGGTCCGTCAACAGACGACTTAGGATGACCAACCAGTCCTGGGGAATGGGGCGAGACTTCCGGTGGTCGACGTCCTGAGAAATTCGTGCGTCGGGAGTCCCCAGGCGTGCGGCGCCTTGATTTTTGTCAGCACGGGGTCCCCGGAAGTCCCGACCCTGTGCCCAGGCCCGGTTTTTCATCCCGAGTCGTTTTTTGACGCTCCCGACGCCTGGCGGGGCCCCTGGAGGCCGAAAACGGCAAAACAAAAATTCTCGTCCTGATTTTTCGACGACGCGATCATATTAAGGTCCGGGCCCCACCTCCTCTCCTACTGCGGGGTGGTGTGCTCCTCTTCCCGCTCCCAAAGGATGGAGGAAGGAAGCGGGCAGTCAAGAGTGCAGAGCCGCTTCCTGGCTCGCGCCCCGCAAGCGTGCAGGTTGAGTCCTGAGGAAGTCAGGAAACGACCAGCGACGAAGCCCAGGTCAGTTAGATGCTCGTTTGGGGGACCTTCCTGAGGCCCACCTAACGGCAATGTTCGACTCCAGTTCGACCCCAGTTCGACCCAAGTTCGCTTCAAGTTCGACTCAAGTGCGACTCAGGTTCGAGTCAGGTCCGACTCAAGATCGGCTCAAATCGACGGACGTTCGACGCAGCTTCGACGCACGAGTGGAGCAAGTGTCTCCAGGAAGGTCTCCAGAATGAGCACCCAAGATCCGGGGGACGGGGTCTGGAGTCAAGTCGGGCCTGTCCCCCTACAGGGGGATTTTCGACGAAAAATGAAAAATACACCCAAAATAATCAAAAAGTACTCCAAACATAGTCTGGGGACTATTTTGGGGGTATTTTTTGACCTTCTTGAAGTATTTTTGGTGTATTTTTTTATTTTTCGTCGAAAATCCCCCCTGTAGGGGGACACGCCCGACAGAAGTCTAGAGCTCAGGAGCCCACGCCGCGGCAACTGCACGGGGTCGGAGGCCCGAGAGAGGGCTTCGTCGTCGTGCGGGTGACAACCACTTGGTATCGCTCGGACGTGTGCGTTTTTCCTTCGGCGAGGACCATCGAGGAGCATCCCTGATCATTTGGCGAAAAAACGACGCACGAAACCGAAAAAACACAGAGAATGGACGTCCGAGCGATGGCCAGACCATGGGTTGTGCGATGCCGTGTGCAGCCGTGCAGATGCTGTCGCCTGGGCGCGTGCTGAGCACAGAGGTCCAACCAGGGACCGGTTTCGGAGGGGGCTGGGAGGTCGACCTCTCAGCCCTCGATGATGACCGAATGCGTCCTCGACCTTCACAAACCGTGGCATGAGCGATCGAGGATCCTCACTCAGTTTCCAGACCGGAGCCAGGGGTGTGCTCTGGATGGGCACTATCAAGATCGGTCAAGGGGGGGGAGGGCAAATCCGTTGAAAATCGATCCCCGGCCCCATTCTGGGGTCGAAACTGATAAGTTTTCCGAGCCGCGTCCAGCCGTGGCGACGAGGTGGCCTTTTTCTCCCCTTCCACTGGGATCCGACGCCGCGGAAAAAGCACATCATCGCGAAAGCTTGCGACCAGAGCGCTAGACCCCATCTCCCTCTTGCAGTTTTTGAGCTGGATCGGTCTGTGCTGGCCCCGGGGTCCTAAGACCGGCGAAAAAGCCTGGTGTGAACAAGTTGTCACGCCATGATCTCAGGCTTCTGCTGGCCAAAGCCAGTGCTGGGCCACCTCAGCCGCCCAGCCGGCTCCAAGACCGAGTGATGTCCGTCAAAGGGGGGAAACCACTTCGACTCAACAGTTGGCGTTTACAGTCAACCATGATAGTAAGGATGGGTCAACTTTCCAAGGCTACCCTTGCATCCTTGCCCCTTCGGTATTCGGCATCCTTCGGCATTCTGCTGCGCTCCGCACGGAAAACGCCAACACGGCGTTCCAAGGCCCTTGCATCCGTACTGCGCATCTTTACTATCCTGGTCGAGTGTATCCGCTTCCCCCATTCTCGTGTTTTTCACAACGTCGACCCCAAGAGGTCTGGACCCCTTCCCCAGGACCGATATTTCATCCTTCAAGTCGTTATTGACGGTCCCGAGGCCCGGTAGGGGCTCCCAGAGACCGAAACATAGCAAAACACTTCCCGTCGCGGCTTTCGGTCACAACGCGAGGGGGTCTGGAGAGCCCGATGGGGAGGGCAGACGGGGTGTCCAGCAGGCGCGGACGCACGCCGCGATTGGAGGCACCCGAGCGGCACCGCGGGGCTCAACGGGGCACGGCAGGGAGCGGGATGGGAGCGCGGACAGGGGGGCGAGGGAGCCGCGGACGGCGCAGGGCTCACACCGCGCACGCCACCACGCAGGAAGGCACATGATGATGATGATGATGATGATGATGATGAGGATGAGGATGAGGATGAGGATGAGGATGAGGATGATTATGAGGATGAGGATGAGGATGAGGATGAGGATGATGATATGGAGGATGAGGACGAGGATGAGGATGACGACAATGACGACGATGATGAGGATGTTGATGATGATGCTGATGCAGATGATGATGAAGCTGCTGATGATGATGGTGATGATGATGCCGACGATGGTGATGATGATGCAGATGCTGATTATGACGATGATGATGCTGATGATGATGATGACGATGATTATGATGATCATGATCATGACGATGCTGATGATGGTGATGAAGATGGTGATGATGCTTATTTTGGTGATGATGATGATGATGATGATGATGATGCACCATCTGAGGATGGTGATGATGATGTTGAGGATGGTGATGGTGATGGTGGTGATGATGATGAGCATGCTGATGCGGCTGATGGTGATGCATCTGAACATGACGCTGATGCTGATTATGATGTTGTTGATGAGGATCATGATGATGACGATGACGATGACGATGATGATGATGACGGTGATGATGATGATGATGATGATGATGATGATGATGATGATGATGGTGTGATGCTGCTGTTGATGCTGACAATGATGCTGTTGCTGGTGATGATGATGATGATGCTGATGATGATGATGATGATGATCATGATGCGGCTGATGATGATGCTGCTGACGATGATGCTGCTGACGATGATGATGCTGCTGACGATGATGATGCTGATAATGATGATGCTAATAATGCTGATAATGATGATGCTACTAATGATGATGCTGATGATGATGATGATGATGCTGATGATGATGATGATGATGATGATGATGCTGATGCTGATGATGATGATACGATGATGATGATGATGATGATGATGATGATGATGATGATGATGATGATGATGATGATGATGATGAATGATGATGGATGAGGTGAAGGAGAGGAGGAGGGGGAGGAGGAGGGGAGGATAAGGGATGCGGACGAGGAGGAGGCGATGGAGAAGGAGGAGGGAGGAGGAGGAGGAGGAAGGGAGGAGGAGGAGGGAGGACGAGGAGGAGCAACGTATAGGAAGAGGAGGGGGAGGAGGAGGAGGAGGAGGAGGGAGGAGGAGGAGGAGGAGGAGGAGAGGAGGAGGAGGGAGGAGGAGGAGGGGAGGAGGAGAGGGGAGGAGGACGACGAGCGAGGAGGACGAGGAGGATGAGGAGGTCGAGGAGGACGAGGAGGACGAGGAGGGCGGGGAGGACGAGGAGGACAAGGACGAGGACGGGGACGAGGAGGAGGAGGAGGAAGAGGAGGAGGAGGAGGAGGAGGAGGAGGAGGACCAGGAGGAAGGGGAGAAGGAAGATGACGAGGACGAGGATGAGGACGACGACGAGGACGACGAGGAGGAGGAGGAGGAGGACGAGGAGGAGGAGGAGAAATGCAGGAGGAGTAGGACGAGACGAGGACGAGGACCGAGGAGGAGGAGGAGGAGGTGGAGTTGAGGAGGAGGGAGGAGGAATAATGAGGAGGACGAACAAGCCGAGGAGGAGGGGAGGAGGAGGAGGAAGGAGGAGGAGGAGGAGGAGGAGAGAGAGGGAGTAGGAGGAGGAGCAGGAGAGCAGGAGGAGCAGGAGGAGGAGGACGAGGAGGAAGGGGAGAAGGAAGAGGACGAGGACGAGGACGAGGATGAGGACGAGGATGAGGACGAGGACGAGGAGGAGGAGGAGGAGAAGGAGGAGGGGGAGCAGGAGGAGGAGGAGGAGGAGGAGGAGGAGGAGGAGGAGGAGGATGAGGAGGAGGGAGGAGGAATAATGAGGAGGACGAACAAGCCGAGGAATGAGGAGGAAGAGGAGGAGGCGAGTAGGAGGAGAGAGCAGGAGGAGCAGGAGGAGCAGGATGAGCAGGAGGAGGAGCAGGAGGAGGAGGAGGAGGAGGAGGAGGAGGAGGAGGAGGTGGAGGACCTGGTGGCTCTCGCGCCGCCAGCGTGGATGTGCTACCGGCGGCGCAGGTTGCGCTTGCCCCGCTGGGACTCGATCTACAACCAGGCAAGACGCAGGCGTGGTCACCCCGGACCGCGTGCCCGCCCGGCCTGGAGGCGCACTGTCAAGCTCGCGGCCGGACGCTGGTCGGGGCCCCGCTCTCCGAGCAGCCACAGCCGCGGGAGCTCCCGCGCCCGGACGAGGGGCGCCAAGCGGCCTTGGGCGCAGCCGACTACGCGACGGGAAGCGCCGAGGACGCCGCGAGACTGGCCGCCGGACTGCTCTCGAAGGTAGCCGTGCTGCCTTCGCATGGCGTCCCAGCGTTTGCCCGCGGCGCAGACGGCGGCCCTGCTCCTGCGGCAGTGCGGGGCCGGCAAGCTGACCCACGCTCCGAGCGCGACGCCCCCCGAGCAGGCGAGGGCGGCTGCGGCGACCTGCGACGCCGCCCTGTTGGCCGCCTGCGGGGAGCTCGGGCACTTGGACCCGCTGATGCCGCAGCAGCAGCAGCAGCAGCAGCAGCAGCAGCAGCAGCA